ATCTTTGTCTAATATTTCAATTTGTTTGATGATCTGAAAAAATTTCAGTGTGACAAATATGCAAAAAAATAAGAAATCAGGAAGGGGGCAAACACTTTTTCACACCAATGTATGTCTTTATCCGGGGCTCAATACTGGAGCTCCTCACATGAGTCTAAAAAGCAGAAGTCAATCTGACAGACACTGTAATCTATTCTCTGCAAAACAGTACCATTAAACAAAGTAATTTTACACGTTTTTGATACAAATGTAAATTTATTTTTTATACAACTATCTTTTGCTGTGCATGTACAACACCGTTCTGTAGCATATAACTGTAAATCACTTTGACAGTGTGCTCTAAAATAACATTTGATTGGTGCAATGCAGTCATCACAATGTTTTCAAGGCAGTAAATCTCAGAAAAAGGAAAAAAAGGAAAATACACATTCAAAACTCACATGCAGTTAGGTGAACACAAGCAAGTGTAGGCACACACCTTAGTTTATTGTGGCATCTAACATGATTACCGAGGTCCTGATAGACAAGATGTTTTCCTACTAGTGTAACAAATACTTAAAGTCCCAGCCTTACTGCCAGACTGCTCTTTCAACATTCTTATGCAATAAAATATTCCAATCCTGCAAGTTTTTAAAAAATGTCTTCTAAGGTTTGCAACAAGTAACATCCTGTAGTCCTGTCCTGGCTCTGGACGACCCCTGTGTTTTTTTTGTTCCAACAAAGAGCTACGCTAATTCCAGGTCCCACTGCTTGACTTTTAACCTTTGTTTCAGAAATCTGTGTAGATTTCCAAGAAATGTAGCAAACCAATACCTCCTTCAGCCTAGTTAAGAACGTTCTCTCTCTGTCCTGTGCATTCATAAACAGCTCCCTCTTGATGATCAATTAATGATACACAGACACAGCCGGGCATGACACAGTGCTACACACCCCTGTAACTGGTGTTGAAGCTCACAAGTGAAATTCCACCTAGCCATCCTACAATCTTACTGGCAGTTCTGGAAACCAACAGACACAGGGAACTCCAGAATCTGAAAACACCGCTACAGAACACGGCTTTTCCTCGAACGTGTCAACATGAAAAACTAGATTCTCTGACAGTCTTGACGACTGTGTCACACTCGGTGAGTTCGTACATGCACACATTGAGAGCATTTCTGTATTTCCACTTTATTCACCTGTCCGTAACGGGGGGAAGATCCTACCGCGGGGGCTTTGCAAATTCTAGTTTTGGATCCACTCATTCCCAGTGTTCAGTTCTTCATCCAAGTGCGTCGTCAAGATACCTTTATGGAGTGTCATAAAGAATGGTTGAGAACAACTGGAATATTGTTATTCTTGGAAAAGAAAACAAAACATTTGTCTCTAAAACCATTCATACTTCCTATAAGCAGCTAAACCATGATTTTTGCTTACATGGCATTATGTTGAGGTGTTTCCAGTTTGATCAAAGGCGGAGCTCTGAGGGTGCAGATCTAGAGCCAAGAATATCTGACCTGCTGCAGTGACGAAGACAAAAATCCCTGAAACCCCCCATGACAGTCTACCACGGTAACAGTCCACTGGCGATTGAGAGATTGAGACGGCACCAAACTCCCGTTGTGTAACCTTGAACACAAGTGCCTGGTGAAACGACCCAGGAGAGGTGAAGAGAGTCTAAAGGCCTCCCTCCTCCTGTGGCGAATGCGAGACGCTTCCTGCTTGTCCTCCTGCTCAGGTGGCTGTGCCATTTTTCTCCTCGGAGGAGAAGGGGTTGGGCCCGATGTCCACGGTGACATTGGTGTAAAGATACATCAGCCGTTTCGAAACCAGGTGATACTCCAAAGAATTCATACCGTCCTCCCTCCATTTGTCTGGAGATCTTACTAACAAGTCGAACCTGAAAAAAATATTAGACAAATATTAGACCTGTAACTGCTCAATTTCACCTCCAAAGAGAACGAGGCATTTGGTAGTTCACTAAAAGAACACAAGTAGTTTAGTTATTTTTAAATATAAAAGAAGTTTCAATCTTCAGCAGAGAAAGAAAAATCATAAAGTAAATCCTAGACGATCAACTTGAAAACAGGACTTTAGGTAAGCATGACTCTGCGCTTTTAACTGTACTTCCTGGACAGTATCGTCTTGAGCACCACGAGGGACAGCAAATAAGGAAGAAGGAAAATAAGAATGCTGAGCAGTCTGCCGCCGATCTATTTTAGTTAATTCTACACTGAAAATCTATTACACAACACGCAGTTTGTACTGGAAGAGATCAGTTCCCAGATCTGTTCAATCTGTCTCCCCAGTCCTCACACCCTCTCCCAGCCCTCCACCCATTTTCTCCCAAAGGCCCTCCTGAAAAATAAGACAGAAAATAGAAAATCTTAATTCCCTGGGAAAGGAAATGGTTTAAAACGGAGTGGGGCTCTGTTGATGCTGGCAGTCCCAGAAATGCGAGGCCTGGGAAGAGCCAAAGTTGGCGTTCAGCAAGTCGATGAGCGAGGAGACCTCGCTCCCAAAATACTACACAACTGGGCTCCCAGAACACATGCTTAAGGGTACCAGGGCTCCCCAGATTACACAGTTTATTAGAGGGGTGAAGCCCCCAGCAATTCCTCTTGCAACCTGCTGGATAAGCTCTATAACAGGTGGATCACATTTATTAACGTCCCAACACGCAGCCCTCTATGAAATAACTGAGCCCCGAACAGACCTATTAAAGGGTTCAATTTCAACCACCGTGTGGTTTTTAAGTTCCTAACATTCAGGAGGCCACCTGTTTTAACTTGTGTGTTTCTTAGGAAATTTAAACCCCCCAAGCCTTTCAGTAGAAAAAAAAATAGCAACTTCTTTTGCACATTTGGTGGCCTAGAAATACCTAGAAACATAAGATATTACAGTTCGTGTGTTTGTCACTTTACCGTTTGTTGTTTTGCTCGTTCCCTTTGTCCTGTTTGTGGTCGACCATCTTGTATCGTCCTATATGCAGGGGAACCCTCACCATCCTCAAACCAGCATACTTCACCCTGCGACAAACAGCGAAGAGCTCTCGTCACTCCACTCCATCCCCTGTGATTAAATAATCCCCTCTCCCCGATTCCCTGATTCCCGACGCTTGTGAGGATGCTCAAGGTTGGGCAAGGTTAAAGACCGGGTAGTGCCAGGCTGAGCCAAAACTCCCGCCCAAGGGTCTGGGAAAATCTGGGAAAATCCACAAGGGGTGATAATAGACCCAAAACAAATATTTTGCCTTAGAATAAGATGCCAAGATTTTGGTTGATAAAAAAATTAATTAACATGACTGGTCTGTCAGGAGCTAGTCTTACTGTGTCTAGTTTCTCAGTTTTTCCTCCCACACTTACAGTTGTGTACACACACACACACACAAACACTTCTCATTTTTGAATTTTGAACACTTCCTGGTGCATTGTTAGAGAGACACATTTCTTCCAAAACATTGTGGATCATAATCCCCAGTGTTTCGCCTGCTAGAGAGCCAGGTGCGCTCTCTCACTGAAGACCAAAGCAAATGGACAACAGGGAAGAGATCCAGAGCAATAAACAGAGAACTGTAGGGATGCCTCCATCCACTGCCAGTGGCGTCTGGGTCAGATACAGACCAGTTCCAGCCTCGATGAGCTGGAGGCTGACTGACAAGACAATGGGCAGCAGGTAGGATGTATCCTGGATAAAATGCCAGACCACTGCAGGGCACATGCCTATGGAACAATTTAGAGATGCCAGTTTTAACTGGGCCAGGTGATAATATTAGCTTGTTTCTTCTCATAGTCCAGCAAGATGCACATGCACAGTGGAGCACCTTCCTAAAACTGGTCTTGGTTTGGTGTCCCAGCACCACCCTCCAGGCACGTTTGTGCTCAGCGATGAGGGCTGGACTAAAGGGCGAGTGAGCAGCAGAGGTGCTCTGCCCTGATGAGCCCAGCCAGCGTGAAACCAGCAGGAGCCGGGAGAGTGTTTACAGTCGCCCGCTGTTACATAAATACAAACACGCACAGACGGGAAGAAGGAGGTTTTCCACCTGAAAGCGATGTCGTCGTCCTCGCCGCCCCAGCCCCAGTAGGTGTTGGGGAACCCGTTTATCTTCATGTACTGCTCAGGTGTCATCGCCGACACCCCTCCAAAATAAGTCCAGTATGGCAGTCTATGGAAAAACACACAGAAGAGCAGGAGCGTGCATCAGTGTGTACAGGAAGATGGAAAAATACAGTTCAGTGCACCGTAAGTAATTATCCTAATAATCTTAACCAGGGCTATTTAACCCTGGTCCGAAAGGGCTGGTGTGTTTGTAAGTTTTCATTCTAATTCAGATCTTAATGAGCTTAACAGCTGGTTGCTGGGTTAACTGGGCCAATTTAACAGCTTTCAGGTGCTGTTGCTTTAGAGACCATGAAAACCTGCAGACACAGCGGCCCCTCAGAACCGGTAGTGGACAGACCTGGCCAAAATATGTAACCTTGCTGTGTAAGCCGACCGCAGCTGAGATCAGACTGCTTGTTTTGCATATTCTAGCAATTAACCACCTACAGTACTTCTCAATGCCAAAGAACAAAGGTTGCCTCGGTAACAATCCTTCCCTTCAGCAAATTGAAACAGCAGGGACTGGATAATTATATTTGATTGCAGGGAACTGAATGACCACACTCAGAAAACTCCCGTGACTTGCAGAGAGACTGGCACATTTTCTTGAGCATAAACAACTTAGCACTGTCCCCGGTGTTCTAAGGAAATCAATGAAAGAAACACCAAAGATTACAGTCTATATAATTCCAGTAGCGCAGGATATCGGCAGCCCCTGATTTTGCAGAAAGCACTCACAATCTGATATAATTCACAACAGACCCCTCCCTCGACAGGGGAAATCTGTCAAGGGCTCAGCCGCAAAGTGTTGCGAAGTGTGTGCAACTGCAGGTAAAACGGCTGATTCACCGAGCAGCAGTCTTTCAGTCTGTCCGGTTAACCGGTCACAATGGCTCGACTTACTGAGCCAACAGATAGGAAGTGAGCTCGTGTGAGCAGAGAGGCTACAGTGAGAAATCCACGCTTCCAAATCTGAAAGGGAAATCCCTCCCTGAATCTGCCCCTTATGGCTGATTAAAAACTCACCTTTTGAAAAGAACCGACCCATTAACATTTTAAGAGCTCGGGTGTTTATTTGTTGTTTAAATTAAACCAAACCAAACTGGCTGTCTCGCAACAGCAGTTAACACCTCGGAGCCCGGGAGAGATAAGGGACAAGGCAGGCAGTATCTGATACCTGGCCCTGCCTTTGAGAACAATGTGGATAAAAATAGCAATTTGTATAAACAACAATGTATCCCCTACAGACTCTATGGCACTCGACAAGCATGTGAACATGCCAGATGTACAAGCAGCACTTTTGCATCCTGATTTACATCCTTATGACACGCATCAAGAAGTACAGATCACCAGGACAATGCGCCCAGGCTCTGGAGACACTCTGTCCAGCCAAAGCCAAAAAAATGTAAATATTATCAAAACATTAATCGTGTGGACAACATAATACTCAGGCAGTAGAGTCTACAAGCAACTGGAGTTGCAAATCTGGAACAAAACTATGTTAAGAAAACTGAAACAAAGATGCTACTACATCACTACAGAATATAACACACATGAGTCTGGGGCTCGTCAATCTGGGCATTTCCAGTTCACTGCAGAATTATGGTGCAAGCAGCTGCTTAACTGTTATATCGATCTGCTGATTATCAGTTAGTATACTAGCTCTTACGTTTGGAAGAACAGAAGTGATCAGCATACAACCTGATCTACAGTGTTTCCTGCAGGAGACAGCACGCAAAACAGATTTTGCAAACCCAGCTTGTTCAAAAAAAGTCAATTTAAGCCACTGATATTCTTTGGAATATACATTTTTGTGTCCACAACAAAACTTTTATGCAGCCTGGCTGCTATCTGCTCTTGAACTTTGACTTGTGATAAGCTTCCACATCTATTTGTTTAATTATATACTATGCTTTCACTGAAGACGCTGAATCACATACTGCAGAGAAAAGACATTCCGATTGTGTGCTCATAGAACTGGTCCTTATCCAATTACTTAAAGTCAGTTAAGTAGATGTTTGTAGGTTTAAACAGCAGCTGTGACCATCAATCTCAGAGGAAACACTTTACATGTGCAAATAAGTTATGGATATTCCTCTTACACCTGACGGCCTGGAACAAACAGGCAGGGATTCTAAAGTGCTGCACGTGGAGAGGAAGTCGAGCATACCTGTAGTTGAACTTATTAATCGCGCTGGAGAAGTGCTTAGGGTAGGTCTCATCACAGACGTACAGGTTGTAGTCATTTTCCGGAATGAGATCGATATCGTGCAGGAAGAGGCAGTCCCAGTCCTCATCTTTCATGGCCTCTCTCACTCCCACGTTAAGCAGCTTGGCGCGGTTGAAGGTCTGGGATCCTGCCTGCAGAAGGAATGTTTGGACAGCGGGGCGGACATGTGGATATCGAGAAAAAAAAATACCCTAACAGAAAAAAGCTGTCTTTATTTAAACCAGCTCATAGTGTGCTGCTGAAAAGAAAAGAGCCTTTTATAACAGGAAAGCTCCGGAAGGCTGCTCTTGACTCGTGACTGTCCACAGGTGCCTCACTGCATGCAAAACACAGTGGTAAAAAACCATTAAACGCAAAACTTGCAAAGCAAACTTCAGCTGTATGATACATGTTTAGTATGCCTACTTTTTCTAAACAAAAATGCACCTATCCCCTTTTAAAAAAACAGCATCAGATGGACTGTGGTCCAGTGATTTCATGCAGGTGCTGAATACTGTAGTTGCTAAAAACAAATGGGTATTAAGGGCTGTGAGACTTCAAGAAACTCACTACAGCCACACCATTTATTTCTCTCATATCAGTAAGTAAGCAGGCAGACATCATAAAACAATCATAACATAAATACAAGTATTGCAACAATAATCAGGGCTCTATACCGATAAGGTTTCAAAATGAAAACCTTTAAAGGGAAATCTTGTCTGTGTATCACACTGTGAACAGCCCACACCACAGCAACAACAGAAGGACTGCAGCAATACCGAGGGGTGCTGGTGGAGAAACAGACTATTTTCAGCACACCCTTCCATGGTTTTATAGTGTAGAAAAAAAAACCCTTTTGAATTTCCCTGAAAACAGATCCCAGTGGATCTTCTCGACACGTGGGTTACAGAGCGTTCTGACTGGTGTGTGAGCAGATTCACATGCGCTTGGCTTTGACCCGACTGGCTCTCCCACAGAGGCCGGGCTCAGAACCGGGCCCCCGGGACCCCTGCGAGCCTCGGCCGGTCCCGGCTCTGGGCCCGGGCCGTACCTGGTGGATGACGTAGATCCTGTAGTGCAGCTGCTGCCGCTGCAGGAAGGGGTGCAGGTGGTAGAGCAGGTGGCGGAGGTGGACCTCCCGGTTCCGGTGGGGGACGATAATGGCCGTCTTGTAACGGGCCAGGCAGTGCGGGGGCCTGTACAGACCCCCCCGCCTCACATAGGGGTTCTTCTTCACTATCCTCCTCAGCGCTGGCGCCGTCAGCAACGTCACCTTCAGGGGCCCCACTGCCCAACACACAAGAAACAGAACATGCAGAACTCCCTGTGTGCGGAAACACACACACGGCTCCGCAGTACGTCACAAAGAGCAGCGGCAGGATGGGATGCAAAGACTAAGGGCTAGAATGTCGTATCTGTGGACAGTGGACTATTCCCACAGCCCCATATCTGCAGTGCCCGTCGCAAGAATGAGAATAGAAAAAAGGGAAAGGAATCCTTTCCCCAGCAGATTCCAGCCCGTCTCGCACGTGAAAGACAGGATCCGAAAGCACAGCTGTTTTCAGGCTGCTTCCAGAAGGACGGGATCAATCCATGCAAACCCTGTAAACAAGCAGGGGCTCAGCAGAGCTAATCCACAGGTCCTCAGGCTCATTAGAGGCCAGCAGACACACGAACCGAGCACACTGCACGACTGTACCGCAGGACTCAGCACAGCCGTTACTGCACATCCGCCGGAGGAACCCCCTATTCTCGGTCAGGGTCATGGTAAGGAGAGCTACACCAGTCCATCACTGGAAACACACGAGGACCACTTAGAGACACCGACTGTCTTAGCTAGCATGTCTCTGGGAGGCGAGAGGGAGCCAAAAAAGTAATATAATTTGCATTTATCAGGAATGAACTCTTCCAGTATAGTAGATGACCCCTCCCACTCCTCCCATTAATTCTTTGCCCTCCTACCATCTGGAGAAAGATTTCACAGTATACAGGCTAGCTCCACCAGACTCTGTAACAGCTTCTTCCCCACAGCCTGTCAGACTCCTCAACACCCTGGTACCTACTTGCACCCACTCCAATTCCAGAAACAGGGTTTAAACTCCCCCAGTCTTTGGTTTATATTGTGTGATGGACTTTTATACTATTCTGGAACAGTTAAATTACACTGTGTATATATCCTGTGTACACTGCCTCTGTTCCGGTGTACACTGTCTTAGTTGCACAATCTTATTCATTAATATTAGCATTACAAGTCCTGTCTACAATGTCTATGTCAGTGTCCAGTCTGTCCTGTCTGTATTTGCACCATGGACCAGGAGGAACGATATTTTGTTCCACTGTATACTTGTATATGGCTGGAATGACAAATAAACTTGAACTTTGCTGTTACTCCTAGTGGGAGTGTGGAACAAGCCACCCAGTCACGCTGTTGAAGCCGATACCCTGGCTTCTTGGCTCAATCAGCTACCAGCTACCAAAACGGGCTGGATGGACTGAATGGTCTCCTCTAATTCCTCATTTTTCTTATGCTCTTGACATTCCCATTTTTGTTCATTGACATCACAGTATGAAAAGGCGCCTGCGGTTTGTACCAGTGACACATGCGCGTGACTGAGCGGAGCCGCGAGGCAGGTGTCTCGGGGGAGAACGAGGGACAGATGGCCAGGGGTCAGCGCTCACAGCGGCCACTCACCCAGCAGCGGAGACTTGGCTGGACAGTAGCGCTGCAGCTCCTTCATCACCGGGGTGAAGAAGGTCAAGTTGGTGTACACGTCCTGGGCTTTAGCGTAGTCCCAGTTCTCTCCGCTGGCGGAGAAGAGACCGTGGAGAACGCTGGAGCCACGGCGGTACATCACAGCCACAAAGACAAGCTGGAGAAAGGCCAGAGTGATCAAGAAGCATGGTTTCTCCAGTGTCCGAGCCAGGGTCATTCTGCAATGGGAAACAGGGCCCCGGTTCACTCTGGAAGAAAAGAGTCTTTTAGGTCAACCCTGTGGGCGTCTTCAGCAGGAAACAGTAACCAGAGGGCACAAGTGGAAAATACATAGTCTACATGCTCTTAAAATGGAGAACAGGAGGCAGTTTGTTTTACACAGAGGGTGTTGGGAGTCTGGAACAAGGTACCTAGTCATGCTGTTGAAGCTGGTACCCTGGCTTCTTTCAAAAAACGGCTGCATGAGATCCTGGGACCAATTAGCTACTAACAACTACGCAGGCTGGCTGGGCTGAGTGGCTCCTCTCGCTGGTAACCTTTCTTATACTCTTATGTAAACACATCTGAACTGGGTGTCAGGGTCTCTCTGTGAGCTGCTGGGAGCTGTAACTGGGCCCCACTTGTCCTCCTGCTCGAATATTGAGCTATGCCAGAGTTGCAAATTTCACTTCTCAGGGAAAATCCATTCTTGGTGACATTCAAGAAGTGGGATGGACGCAGTTGTTTTCAGTTTTTTTTTTTCAGATAAAGCCAGGGCCATTCACTTTAGAAAACATGTTTTCCCCCTTTGCGAAGGTCTGCTTTCTCCGTCTGCGATCCTGTCATCCTCTACGCTGAAGGATATGGCCAAGTTTCCTCCTGTTTCCAAGCAACACAAAACCTGTAAATAAAGTGCAGTTGATTATTAAGCTCTGGCGGCACATTAAGGCATAAATCCACTGAAGGATTAATACATCACAGACAGCAGAAAGACACTGCCTTACTCGTCAGGGAATACAATTACAAACAAGAAAGGTCTAGCCAACACAATCACGTGCAACACTCTGTAAAAATAAATGCAAAAAATGTTGAGTCTTTATAAGTCCGTTTAAGTCCACACATGACCCCGTGACTAACTCGTTATGAATAGGGTTCAATTAGAAGGCACTACAAAAACAAAACTTCAAAATATGTCTGCCTCTTACAAAGCAAACACTAACATTACAGACTCCTTGTAAAAAAAAAAAGATCATTCTTTCCAATCTGTCAAACCCTGGATGGCTACAGATGTTTGCTGTTTCAGTGGTGTCTAATTTAAAGCACAATCTACTGTACATTTTGTTTTCTTTTTAGGTCAATCACGTACAGGAGGAAATCAGCTTCACAGACCGCCTTGTAAAGGAAAGGAAGACAGACAGGTAAGAGGCATCGAACTAGATTAAAATCAGATTCAAAGAGCCTTACTGGCAAGGCTCTTTGAAGTTGATGAATTAAGTGTTGCCAAAACAATATTTACAGTCAAAGCACATTATGTTATATCTAGATTGAACTTTCAATCCGAGAGATACATAGTCGTGTGCCGATTATTGTGATCACAAACAAAAGCAAATGGCCCCACAAATAGTCGCCGTGACGATTCAAACAACTTGGTAACACTCTTTAAAGGCAGTGAGCAGCGACCTCGGGCTGATTAGTGACCAGAAGGCTTTTCAGTGGGAACGCGTGGCGATTCCAGCACTTCATTTTCATAAAGCAGGCTCAAAGAAACCAGCAAGCGAGACCACTGACTTAGCGTGTATCACAGAAGACAGGCATGACCCAAGAGTAAAAACCATCTTATGTCTCATGGGCTCTCATCACCATCTGTAAATTTTAAACAAAATGGCTGCTGCCCTTGAAAGTCAGAGGCCTATTTTTGTAAAGATCTCTCATCGCCAGAACAGCACCAATTCCCACTCAAGGCCAAAACAATGCTCGAGTCTCTTTCATCACTTCGGCAAAGCAGGCTGAAAAATAAGACTACGTTATCTGCCACATTAAACACAGAAAGGTAACACCAGATGTGTGGTTCCCATTTCAGGCGTCCAGGTAAACGCTGGACCTGACTGAAAACTTTTTCAGCCGTGAATTAAAAAAAAAAAAGTTTTCCTTTGCCAGTCATTAAAACGACAGATGGCGGAGTGGCAAAGCGCAGAGAAAGTAAAAAAAATGCCTATCTTGCTATAACCCTGTTGATTTTGGATCTACTCTCGTTAGGTGTAAGACATTACAAAAAGAGAAAAGGAGAAAGCAAAGGTGATGTGCAGTTGGGATGAAGAAGGAGCCCGCCTACAGGCAGTACAGTTCTCCGACTATAGAGACACAGTCCTTTCTCCCAAGCGTTCCCGGAGATTTAAGGACGGTCAAGTTCGTGACTGCTTATGAAGAAACTTCGGTCCTTCAACTGGGTCGCGGAGTGTGAATTCGACAGCGAGATCCGCAGTGACGCACAGAGCCTTCCTGCTGCTCGTTAGTACTTCAAGATGGGCTTGAGGGCTGTTTTTCTGTTGCAAGGGAGCTCTGTGAAGGAACAGACCGCAGGAGACTGCCCCTGCCCGTCCCTGGAGCGATGTCTCTGCGGCGGCTAGCGCTCCCCGACCGCATTGCTAGAGAACAGGGAAGAAATGCTAGCTTCGGGCTATCCAGACAACAGCACTCCTTCTCCAGCAATGATGATTATTAGAACCACCAGCATTTCGGGAGCCTTTAAATTCAGATTTTCCTTGGAACAAAAAGGAACAGTACAGGACTACAACACAGGAGCAGTCGCCACCCCCCTAAAACGAGAACTTTCCGCGAAGGTCCCTCATGAAGTTGATACACGTAAGTGTGTCAGCTGTATCGCTTGTATCCCTTGCACTTTTCAAAATACTGCACACGGGGAAAGCACCTGTTACTGTTGGTCGGAACAGCTACCCCAACAAGTCTTTTTAATGTACTGAGTTATAATAATCACCCCCCCATTTAAAAAAAAATCAAATTCATCAGCCATTGCATCATTAGTAATTTGACACACTTTAATCAGCTACCTATAAGAACAGCAGACAGCACTCTATTCTGAATGACTGTATGAATAACTACTACAATAAAGATTCTGTCAAGTAGCGTCAATGCGAATATTATAGACAGCCTATTTTTATTCTCGAATCCATCCTAAAACAGGTAACAGTATGTGCGTGTCCCTTCACAAACCGATGTGTTCATGTAAACAAGATGAGTGTTGGTAAGCTACCGGCTCGTATCGGTTCAGGCTTGCCAGCAGGGCGCTCCGATTTGACTGCCGGGGTGTCAACCTCCAACAGATCAGGGCTGGGCTTGGCAAGCCGGTTTAACCAGTTGGATGAAATAGTAACCATCACACCTAAATGACAAAGTCGCTGGAATTTGTGTTTTTTTTTCATTTAGAGGCGAATGCTCTGAGTAATTATTCGTGTTTTCCATTCGCGTGTGCGGTCGGAGTTTGTTAAGACTCCAGACCTCCTTAAGTTCTCAACCGCAAGAGGAAACCATTTCTTGAAAATGTGTATATAAACAACAGCCCTTCGTGCACCGGAGCGAGATACTTACCAGGCACAGCCAGGATGAGAGAGGGGGAAAGACTTGATCGCGCACAGCAAGGTGACCCACGGGCTATCGGCTACCCACACCTTTTAATTCTCGAAAAAGGAAGTTTGCCGGCTTGGTTCCTGTAAAGCGAGCCCGCTCGGCTCAGTGTGCTGCGTGCAATTCACGAGAAGAGTTTCCACTTCCCCGGATTTGTTTTTACATTAGTCCCTCCTTCGCTCACAGCCTGTACCCAGAGTGCTCCTGGAGCAGTAACTCGCCAAACGACGCTCACGATTTCGCACACAGCACTTCACAGACAAGCGGAGCCCCACGGAAAGCGTGTCGGAGACAATGTCACACCTGCAAACAAATTACATCAGGCGCACCGCCAAAAGCAGACGTTTAGCTATGCGACCTGAAATTACCGTCAAAAAAGGGATCTCCTTTAAAGTATTCGTATTGCTTTATTATCTGAAATGCCTAACGATGCAATGGCAGACCCTTAACAATAACGTGCCATATTTTGTGAGACCCTGTTCTGTAACGCCCTCGCAGAACCCAGTGCTCAAATTACACATGAACCACCGTTTGTTTTATTACTGAAACGAAAAGTTCAACAAAGAGTATCTCTGCTGCCCCCCCAGCGGTCAGAGGTGCACATGACGCTTTAAGGTTTCTTACTGTACATTTAAAAAGTATTTTGAACTAGAAAAAGCCTTTCTTAACGTAAAGAAAGCACTGTAGAGAGCATATATATTACACCTTTCAAGTCATGTTTCTTTGGCCTTTCTTGGGTCTTGTTATTTCTAGGACTGAGTTTATACTGTAATACTCTAAAACAACTGAAGCTTACATATTATTTCTTATCACAGTTTAAAGTAATCATTTACATTGGTCCGACTTGCATCCAGCATCTGCAATATGTCACATTAAAGTTCAGCTGTAGATCATTTATAAGCAGATCTCCATGTCAAATTATGCTTCTGTTCAGCGTAATTCAGGGAGGAATGTCAGCAACTGATAGATTCTGTATTTAAATAAGGAAAATTGTGTTTACAATTGAACACATTATATCTCAAACAACAATCATGCTATGTGTGTGCAAGAAACTTGACCATATAACATATAACAATTAATGTATTCAATGAAAATTACTTTTTTTTAAATTCCAATAAAACATTGTGCCTCATGCCTGCAGTGAAAGAGTTCTTTGCAATCATATGGAAGTTCAGACAACCCTCAAGTCTTATTGAAACTGGCCCTGCGTGGTAAGTCTTCTGTCTCTGAATTGTTAGGTTTTTAACCAGCTGTTGCTTGTTTTGCATGGAAGAAAAATCTCTGTGCTAGAATTGCAACTTAATTGCAAACAAAGAAGTAGGAATGCAAGTATTCTTCTGCGTCAGGAGCTTCTGCGAGGTGCAGAGTAATGAGGAACATCTAAGTGATCATCCTGGGGGGCTGGAAATGACTTCACTGCACGAGTGAATCTGGTGTTTTGCAGTTCTGGCCATTTCTCGAAAAGTAATGAGCTGTCTGGTTCTGTTGCTTTGTCTGACAGAGTTTTCCAGAGTCATGATGCAACATAATTGAAGACTCCTTTTTTTTTTTACTAGAAGGCTTAACTTCGTACAGAAAAAGCTCACAGACTCTTCAGCAGGCAAACAAACACTTGCTACAGCTCTGTAAGCTTGCTTCCCAGGGGAGGAAAGACACGCCCCCCAGTGGCAAACTCGGTAGTCCTGGGGACAGGATGCCATGACTACTGGTGTGTGGCAATTTGCCCTGACACTGTTGATACATTTTGTAATACAATTTGAAAATTATGAGCAACGAAAAGCGTTAAATTCAATTATATTCACCCTCTGTATAGTGTTTATTCATCTATTTATAAAAATATATTTACATATATATTTAATGTGTTTACATACATATCCTTTATGTGGACTTCACGTGTGTGTACTCCATCTGTAGACTCTGTGATATATTTTGGGGAGCTCGGGGGAGTTTTCTACTTCTTTACCTCTCTCTTTCAGGACAATACAGTCATGATATAACATGAAATTTAAGAAAAGGCATAAAACTATCCTGTCGAATAGTATTCCCTACATGCCGCAGTTCTCAGAAAACACATTTGGGGTATTCCGCTGAGCTCCCAGACTACCGCACGTTCTCCCAGTGAGTCTCCCCTCCGTACAGCACACGCCTCGCCTGGAGCCGCTGTCTTGTTGCAATGCCTCTCCATGTGTGAAAGGACAGGAGACACACAGCAAATAACGGCAAACTGGCACAGAGCTGGGTGAGCTCACCGGGCCTCCAGGCGCGGTGCCCCCCTCCGTTGGCGTAACCCGAGCCGTCCCTCGGGTCACGCCACTCACGCTGCTGGGCTCAGGCAGCCCGGCCCCAGAGAGCCGATCGGTCCTCAATTACCGCAAGAGACTCCACACTTGATGTCAGGTCCACCCCTGTTCTCACAAATCCGTCAAGCCACGCTGCCCCACGGGGAGCGGAGGGAGCTAACGCCGACAGCACCAGTCACGTCATGCCTGCTGGCACCATCCGGCTCAATAAAAACTCAACACCGAATGAATCACAGCATTAAAAAGTTAGCCTTTATTCCACAAGTGACAAAGGGCTCAAACAGCGACACAATGAGCACGTTGGCTGATTAATTTCAGGCTGCATGTCTCTTCATTTAGCAATTAAACTGAACTTTAAAAATGTACAAGTACAACCAGCATTAAACTAATAAGAGTCATCCTTTTATGTAGCATATTGTTACGCAAAAGTATTCTACTGGAGGAATATTTTAACAATATTTGTTTTCAAGCTGCTGTTTTTTGGTAAAATAAATTGTGCAAAAATAAGACAGTCAGTGGTAACTTCAAATTTCAGATTCGCACATCATACAAATCGCAGAAGAGATTTTAGTTCTGGTGTGCACACTTGTAAACTTAGATTCTTTCGGCAGTCAGCAGCACTTGCAGTCCCATTTTTTAGGTTTTTATTTCTCATTACTTTCCAGAATGTGCGATCATTTCTTTTTCAGCTGGAGGTCATGTGTTACAATGTGTAAATGCAGGTAAAATGAATTCTGATTGAAAATGTCTTCAGCCTGTTAGGTAAGTAAATGTGTTACTTTGGAACAGGTGTCTAAATATTTATATCGGCACTGTACCTGGTGAAATGTCATGTTGCACAGTTTCTTATTGTAATTAAAACATCTTGCTTTTTAGAAATAAATAACGAAAGTGCAGTCCCCTCAGAAATATTCTTCATGTTCCGGAACAACCAGGTGTCAATGATCTATTTCACAGGTGAGCGTGCTGAACTAAGCTATCCTGATCCATTGTGCCACCTCTGGCTTGGGACACAAAAACTACAGCTTCCAAAACAGTTCATTTAACAATTCCATTCATTGCTTCATTGACCCAATCCAATTAATCACTGTGATCCAGTACCTGTGCAGACACTTGTGCTGTTTGTAACAGAGCGTAAGAAAACTGTCGAAAGGTTACAAAGGAGAGAAGAGATTCCCAGATTCTGACGCAAAAGATCTATTTCCCAGCTATATTTCATACAGCTTCCTTACTGGGGTAGTATTTAGGAGATAGGTGATATTTTAACTGTAGTCAGGAAATTAACAGAGTTGCAATAGTGCTTTACATTCTTAGAGTGTGTGGCAAAATATTAACACTGGATGAACAAAATCTTTGACACAAAAGACATGAACGAGTACTAGGCCATTAAGAACTGCTAGAAATGTGATCTTCTTCTACAAAGTGATAGAGTATTGTTTTTATAAAGATCATCAGCTCCTCTCTGAAGGAGAAGAAGAGAAAGAAGATGTACTGTACACGTTACAATTTGTCTTTAGAAAAGGTTAGCACATTCACACTGCATTCATACATTCATGTTGCATGTTGCTTCCCCTCACTGGAGAGAGGCATTTGATCTTTTTATATTTTTAATTTGATTCTGCCGTTACTTAGTATACTTTTTCATGGTTTTACTGTGGCTCACCTCAGGAAAGTATACATAAAGATCACACCTTCAAAAAAGTGGGTTCTCAAGGAGATGAGAGACGTTTCTGCCATAATCAGACCGTAAGCTCTGCATACTCTGCGAGTCATGGTATAAAATGATAAAATGATCCATTACAGAGAACCAGACCATAAACACTAAAAGATCCATTTTTATTTAATACTCCAAACAGGCAGAGCAGAGTGAAATGGATTTGTGGTGTTGCTTCACCAGAGAGAAGAGCAAACAATGTCTTCCTTTCAAAGTGTCAGTTACCTTCACTGTGACGAGCTGAATTACTTTTCATCTCAAAGGGGTTTTGTGCTCATCTTCCTCTCAGCTGTGACAGCGCAGAGCCCTTGGAAGACTCCTGCTTATCCGAATGTTTGAACTTATAGAAATAATTTAGCTCACCAAGATTCACACCAACAAGAAAGCGGGAGCAGTTTGTGGTCAGAGGCCCCTGCAATGAGAAGCTCGATTTATAGGAAAGCTCTATAAAGCTCTGTGCTCTTTTGTGTTTCTAATGATCCAAGCTGCGTCCTGTTTAGCTTTAAATTTTGTGGTTCTATCAATGCGCCATGGTCTTAAAAATGTGCTTACATCTCCTTTGTAAACAATATAGCATCCCCTCATCGTTTGGCACTAATTACTGAGCTGACATCGAAATCGCGTGGCTCCACCAGGAGAAACGCTGTGTCAGGCCCAGCCTCCATCATTCCACCTGTGTACCTGCTGCGTAGGCAACAGAGAACAGCAAGCAGGCTTCTGTCCTCGGAGGCGTTAGCAGCCTTGAGGAGGACGTGTGCGGTAAGAACAGCTGATGCAAAAGACCTGGAAAAAGGTACAAAGGAAAATGTTGTTAAACGTATGAGAGACTTGAGCTTGGATTTAATTTCTGTTACAAGTTGCACACAGAGCAAAAAGAGAGAGCATTAGGCCTTCCTTTGAGATTTTAGTGGAGGTGAGCCATCGGCTTCAGTTCAAGTTGGATAACGGAATATTAATTTTTCTTCTATCGATTCCAAGGAGGCACGTGGGTTCCCCTCAGCTCAGTCTTGTGCCTCTGGCAGGCCCATGATCCCCTGGGCTCACCCCACTGGGCTGAACGTGAGAGCCGCGGACTTCCCTGACTGGCTGGACAGCCCAGAACCCAGCACCTCCCTCCTCCAATCAGCATCCACCACACTCCGGACCTGCAGGAAGACAGGAGCGCGCGGTCAGGAAGCCAAGGGCTGGCTTGTGCAAGTATGGAGAACGAGCGATACCTGACAGGACACAGTTTTCTCATTATGAATCCCAGCTGTGGAGACGAGTTGTGGCAAAGTCTCCAAACTCAGGTCAGATAGAAAGTTTTAACATGTCCTCTAGTTAAAACATACAAAGAAGCCATCTGGTAGCTACCCTGTGTCTCTATCCAACGCATATCTGATATCAGGTACAGTGTCCCATACTAAGTAAAGTGTGTTAATGTAATCAATCTCAATGTCATTTCTTTTTCATCATCCATAATACTTTTTACTATCTCATGTCCTTTTTGCTTGTGCTTGAAGTTCATTATACATGGATCCTGTTCTTTTTAATCAATTTATAAAATACTTTTTTCCCCATATATTCTTCCTAACAGAATTATCAGACCGTTAAAGCCCCTGCTGTCTAACCATGGATCAGTCTACTAATGGGATGAACATGTTTCTGTTCTTCAGGCAGAATACCTTTCAGCTGCTGTCACACACTCTTCCCTGATGCTACATCTCCTGCTCTTCAGGTCATTCTCATTCCTTCCTAGCTTGTTTTTCTGAAAATATATACTGTATATATCATCTTTATTTGGAGTCTATCTCTACAGTTTCAAAAAAGTCATACTTTTGGAGTTTTGAAGTGAGTACTCTTAATGGCTGTACGTTACACACGGGGAGTGTAATCACACCATATTACAATCACAGTTTCCTAATCTGTATCTTGATTGCTTGAAAAGATGAGATCAATACACACATTCCCACTCACCGGCACTCTGACAGAGCCTATGTGCCTAAAATTACAATCTCTCATCATAACCATGGGTTTACACAAACATTCGTGATTCCCTTATGATTGCATTATAATACACAATACTGTAATACACAATTTCCAATAAACTTTTTTTTTAAGACTTTAAAGAGTGCAGCATTTCTCTGTATTGTACTAAACTAATTCTCTGTTTGAATGCAGTCACACAAGTCCCCTGCTGTGGCAGACCTGCTCTATTTCAAGTCACTCTCAACAGAAACCT